ATTGGCTCGACCAGGGTAGGACCACACTCTCACAAAATACCAGCATAAAATATCAGTGTATTGCTGCTATGTTTCGTACGGTGAGTGTAGAGAACCGGAGACCCGTTTTACTGGAATCGATCCATTCCATCTTAGTCCTCAATCAAAATGCAAAAGCATTATATATTATAGAAATGTGGATGTCTATGGGCCACAGCATTCACTTACCATCAGGTGGACTGTGTGCTCGTTTGTCACCCAATGCTATAAAAAAACTCTTATTTATTGAAAACATAGGGCTTAGCAGTGAACTATAGCCATAGAAGCGATCACAATAGATCTTGTAGGTCATAGTGATACTGGTCTCTTTACCTAAACCTGCATAGCTCTGCTACTAAATGAGGTATGTAAAGATAACAATGTGACTGCAATAGATCAAGGGGCAACAATGCACCAGACAAACTGGCCCAGGGAAGGATTGGCTCTGACTGACTAGGGCCTGAACTGATCATACCGATTTCTTTCAGGTAACATTCATTCACTGGCACATCATTTCAATCACATTAACAGTCTTCATGAGATTAAACTACCCACAGATCAGTATAGCAACAAGTGCTATTACAGGACCAAGGCTCTTTTATCAAACATTTATTTACCATAGGTGGTACAGACAGTCCCGTGTGGAGGGTGGGAGAGGAGGAAACAGCGACCCATGTGTTGCTGATATGTCTGGAGGTTACTCTATACAGGGTTAAACATCTCTGTACACCAAGATCACTCCCCGCAGTTGTTCACAATATCAAGGGGCTGCTGAACTTGGTTGAAATTTAGAATCATTTGGCAGGAATTTGGGGGAGTAAGGTGTTTTATTTAGTAGAGGTTTGGTCCCCGATTATAATAATACCACTCATATTAAAAGGTAATGAGAAAATCCCACAGAACTAACCTCAAAGTGATCTCAAAATGAATTTAGGAGGTGGGAGGTGATGGAGAGGGAGGTGGGGGAGTAGTAGTCGCCCCACACTTCTACCTCCTGCCAGATGTGCTTAGTTTTTTTTATAAATTTTTAAAAATCTCATTTTGAGGTAATGTTTTTGACTGTAAACCTGATTTATGGGGGGGGGGCAGGGAAGCACGGCGTAGCACAGTTGAGGGAAGCCTGGTCGATAAAGCCCCGCTTCTCAGGGCTCAGACTTCTGAATGGTTTATAAAAAAATAACCACGAAGGGGATGGCTTCTAACCTAACCTATCCGAGTCGGGATGCCCAAGTCCAGAGCTTGCTTCTCTTGATCTTACACTCAATAAAACACCAAAATATTAACTTGTGTAAAAAAGGATCCAGAGGGATAGCAAAGTCGTCAAAAAACAGGCGGAGGCAGATAAAAACATTAAGGAGCACATTCAAGCTATAAGAGACATTACACTGGAGATCACACATTCACGCAAGAAGAGCAACTAACGGCTAAATACATAAAAATTAGCCCCTTGTCTGGCGGCTGGCCATTTTGCAAATATATCGCATCTGCTAAGACCTTAGCAGGTAATTTCGCGATATCTCTCGCGCGCTAAAATATTTTATTGAAGCTATGTATAAAACAATCATTTGAATTGTTATATTATTTGCTATTACTCTGTAGATATCTTAGTTGAAAACAACCTAATAGATTTTATTAAAAAAGGACAAAAAGCGGGATGGACGAACACATAAAAGTGACATTCGCATACGACTACCACACAGGCTGTTTATTTGATATATCTAAACATTGTTTTTTTTTTTTTATAGAATAGGCTGACAAACGAGCACACAGTCCACCTGATGGTAAGTGGTTGCTGCGGCCCATAGACATCTACATCTATCTTCCATTACAAATCAAAATGCAGATGCGTTGTCACCCGTGAGGACTGAGATGGAATGCCTCATTTTCAGTAAAAAGGGTGTGGCCGTGGAAGGAAAAGGGGAGATCTCCCGCCGGGCGGTGTTCTGCCCGGGAGCGGCCAGCACTCCGAGTGATAGTTCGGAGATGTTCTATATATACTGTTTCTGATTCGGAATGTTGATAGCGTGATTTAAGCTTCGGTTTATTTCGTTTGTGGCGCGACGACAGCGCCGCTACATCACCCCCCTGCTCAGACTGGAGGTCGATAGTGCAGTCGAGTTGTCGACGAATGTGCAAGTGCCAGGAGATTGCTTTGTAGTCTGCGGTGAGTCGAGAAGAAGGCAAGTAATCTGAGAGAGTGCCGTGAAGCAGAGGCGAGCAGTAAGGCTCAGAGCCGTGCCGAACACTGTATGGCGCAGAGAGTAGCTTGAAGGAACAGGAAGCATTTTTATTCCAGTGCTGCGATGAACCTTGTGAAGCTAGCTGGCTTGCAGCATATGAAGACTGTAGACGATATCTGCTCAGGAGCGAATGGGTGGGGTATTCTAGGAAGATGATGAAGCTTGAAGTTTCCGAAGGTTGTCGGTTGCGTGTTCAGATCACGTCGGAGTCACCACTGTGGCCGTAGAAGGAAAAGGGGAGATCTCCCACCGGGCAAGGTGTTATGCCCGGGGAGCGGCCAACTCTCCGTGTGATAGTTCGGAGATGTTCTATATATACTGTTTCTGATTCGGAATGTTGATAGCGTGATTTAAGCTTCGGTTTATTTCGTTTGTGGCGCGACGACAGCGCCGCTACAAGGGTCTCCGGTTGTACTTTAGTAGCTTTGTATCACATCCTCTTTCTTTGGTATATAATTTTCTATAAGTAAAAGTGTGATAGCAATCATTGTCGCTAGTTATTTTACCCGCCAAACACCCATTCGCGGATCTGCCAGAATCCGGTAGTTTGCCAGACGCGCGTAAAAGTCATATTCTAGCCAATTGCTATACAAGGGGTTAATATGTCATGCAAATTGACACTTGACAGAGAGTATAGACAGTAGAATAATGTGACACTATAGTCCGTTCGCATTAAGAAAATAGTGAGTCATCAGTGCAACTACAGGGTAAAGGTGTATTCACAGTGGAGTAAAAATTATTTTTTTTCAAACATTTAATTAAGTTTAATGGAAACAAATTATATAAATTAAATCACTAATCAGAATCGCTAGATTCTCCAGTTACATTAATTATGAAAGAATTTTGTTCTGCAAGTTTCATGATGTCATCCAAATTCCACATGGTATTTTCTTCGCGTTTCACGTGGTCGCAGCACTTCTTCCAACGAATAGTGTCTATTAATGCTATTGCATCATCTAATAATTTTTTATGTCACTCATTTTGAATGTTATTGGCACCAACATAATTTTTTATTTGAGCCCAAACCAATTCAATTGGATTAAGTTTGCAATGGTAAGGCGGTAGGCATAGAATTGTAATGCCATTACTTTTGGCAGTCTCATCTATTAAATATTTATTATATTGTGGGGCGATTTCGGAAACTCTCATTAATAATTTTTTTTGAAATAAGTCATGTCCATGGATTTGCCTTTGCTTTGCAGCCAATCTATTATTTCCTGCTTGTTCCAGCTGATTGTTGGTATTTTTTCGACTCTTACCGAATGATAGGGAGCATTATCCATGACAACCACACTTCCTGGTTCTAGCTTAGGCATTATATTAATGAACCAATTAAGGAATCTTTCACCATCCATCTCTTCATGAAGGTCTTTTGTAGACTTAGATTCAAATACTAGTAGACCATCTTGCACGAATCCTTTGTCGCTGCCAATGTGCAATACAATTATTAACCTTTTACCTTTTCCTGTCGGAGCTTTTGGACCGGCTGATAAGCCATCTAGAAAGGCTTGTCTTTTATTTTTTACCATTGTATCCAACCTTGCTTTTGTCTTTACATGTCCAGTGTTTACCCACATTTCCCGTCAAGACAGTAAGTGGTTTTATTAGCAGCTCTGTATTCTTTTATTTGCCTCAGATATTTACGCCTCCATAAAACAACATCTTAAAATACACAACTGTTTTGTTCGAAGGCCTGAATTCAACTGGTCACTGTACACTTTCTAATTTCTTGCATTTAATTGACTGGGGGGCGTGGTCAGGCCGGCGGACAACAATGACTCACTATTTTCTTAACGCAAACGGACTATAGTCTTCGTCTTTGTTGAACTTACACAAAATTCTGTATGCTATCCAGCTTTCACAGTAATATTGCATGTTTTTCCATGTTTTACACATTCTAGGTTATAATAGGTTTTATTTGTTTTTTCGATAACAGTGCATTACCTTTTAATGTGAGTGGTATTATTATAATCAGGGACAAAACCTCTACCAAATAAAACAAATTACCCAAATTCCTGCCAGACGATTTTAAATTAAACCACTGAACTTCTTCAAGATTTCATGGCTCGAATAATCGTAATTTTTCTGCCCACATGCAAAAAAAGCGCTCTGATGTGAATTTGCGAAAAATAGCCCATCATAAAATAAACTAAAAAAATTAGACGACTATTTAAAAGAATGTGTGAACATAATGAGCTTCCTTGAAACTTTTTGTTTTACTGATGTATATATTTAATAAGGATAATTTGTATCTGTTGGGAGATAAAAAATACTTGTAAGTTATTCTCACAAGGCCTCCTCGCAGTAAGGACTTGTTGAAGCAATAGTGTAGCATTTGGTTTTCAAAACTTGAGGAAATACAGAATGCACCTGTTTACATACTTGAACATATGTTATATGGTGGATGTTGAGAATTCATTGAATAATAATGTTCGGCATTGTATCTAAACACAGACAGCAATGACATTAATTCGCTAAAGAGCAATGACATCTTTATAATGAACAATAATAATATCAATTTCTATTAGTAAATCATCTTCAGCGCTTTATCTGTTCTTTTTAATATCTTAGTATATATATATGCTAGAGGAAAGTAACAGAGATAATTACAATATCTAATGCTCAACACTGAGGCAGAATACTACTTATGTGTATATACTAAAATGTGTAATGATTGTCACATAATGGTTATAAGAAAAATTTGTCATCAATTATTTATAGGTTATGTGAAAGTAAACTCACCATCCACAGGAACCTGTGCTTCCTCTGTTTCAGGCGGTTCACTCGATGGCTTCGGACTGATTTCACCAGCACCTTTAACATTCTCCTCCGCAGTATCATTGCTGTTTACTTTACTCTCATCGCTTGTCGAATTATCACCCACCGCCATTTCGTCTGACATTGTCAATTCTAGATATATGACTTAAATCCACTGCCAGAGCGTAGATAACAACATAACAACCTCTCACGACACCTCAGTAGATAACTTTGTAAATTTAACAACGTTTGTAGCGCGTCACAGCGGAGATTTCCCGCTATAATTCTAGCGAAAAAAATTACAACTTATTCGTCCAGCATATCATTAATACGTCACTAACTACTCGTTTATGCTAATATAATACGAAGCATTTTATTAAAACACAGGAAATAACAACAAAATTGATAACATCAAATAGAACAAATTAGATTTTGTGTCCACATCCAATTTCCAAAGGAAAATGTCGATCATAGACAACATCCGCCTAAACGACGCTACAATGCTTGTCTATGGTCCAACATTGCCATTATTAAAAAATTAAAAATAATTGATAGAATTAAGCGTTACTTTGCGGAAATCCATTATAATAAAAATACTAATTAGTTCGCAACCTTCCCGCTAACTAAATACTATGACATGACTCACCTGGATTGAAGAGCACCTCCCGCCCTCCCTCAATTGCATGTACTAACTCCGCCACCACTATTCTACGTAAGACACACCATCGACGACAATACGACACATGTTTCGCCTCTACACGAGGCATCGTCAGGTGATGTAGACTCTACGGCGGCTGACCTATAAATGAGCGGCGAGATTTTTTTTTTTGCGCCCGAAGCAAATATGGGCAACCCTCCGGAAAGCGGGGGAGGGAGGCGGTGAATGCTCATAGCATACCACGCAGCCGGCTGCGTGGTTATGTGGAGACTTTTACCCACTAAACACCGCCTTTTAGGAAATGGCTTAACGATCTGACTAGAGATCTCTAAGCCGTATACGAACGCGACCCTCCTTGGCAGAAAGGAGGGCGCAAAGAGCGGCGAGACAAAACAGCTGCTATTTATATACGCCGACACAACCGCTCCCCACCAAAGTAGCGAGTGATCGCGCCGTGCGATAACAAACCTGCGACTAATTATCATTACTATTATTATTAATATTTTTTAAATATTATTATTATTCAGGGTATCTATATAGTTTTCTCATCTGGTTGGGTTCCATAAATATATAATAATGAAAATGATAAAGATACATAAATAACAATAAAACAAAATAAATACTATATATAAATACATAAAAAAATAAAAGCCCAACCAGATAGAAGCCCTCGGCAGGGGAGACCAAACGGCCGAGGGTTAGGAGGAAAGGGAAAGAAACCGGCGGACAATGCGGACAGTATCGAGGAGCACCGCCTTCTGTATCCGTGACGGACTGCTCCGGGCTTGAGCCCGGAGCAGTCCGTCACGGAGTCCCAGTCGCCTAAGATGACCCGTGAGGCTGACTGGGATTAGCTCGTTTAAAGAAACGACTACAGGTATAATTTCGGTCGACAGCCCACCCCACATGTCGGTCACCTCGTGAGCCAGGTCCAGATATTTTGTTCGCTTATCTGTTTCGGCTTTCAGGAGCTTCTCGTCATACGGAATGGTAATGTCGACCAAAAATATCCTTGACTGTACCCGGTCCATCAGCACAATATCAGGCTTATTCGCAAGAATAGTTCTTTACTGCCGGTTCTTGCCATTGCTCGTTGGCCAAGGATAGAGGGGTAAGCCCTTTATCAAAACAAATGACGTCCCTATAAAATGGACCATCCGATCTCGTCAGAAAGTAGTTACGGAGGCTGCACACTTCGCGATTATGCATGGTAGGCACGCTTAACAGGCCACGCCCACCACATTTCCGAGGCAAGTACAGCCTCATAATTGAAGATCTCGGGTGATGCATCCTATGAGACGTCATAGTAGTGCGGACTTTTCTATCCAGGGTATTAAGGTCAGTCTGAGTCCACCTAAGTATGCCAAAGGTATACATGAGTACAGGCATGACCCAACCGTTATATGCTTGTGTCTTATTCACACCGGACAAAAGGCTGTTAAGCACTTTGGTCAAGCGTGCATAAAACATGTCGCAAACAGACTGTTTCTTACCAGCCTCATCGATACCGATGTTCTGTGACATACCCAGGTATCGGTATGTTTCAGCCTCGGAAAGGGTCCTTAAGTTGACGGGCATATATAAGTCTATGCCCTCAGAGTTAGCAACCCTTCCCCTTTCAACATAGAGGACCGCACACTTATCCGTTCCCAGCTCCATTCCAACAGAACTGCTAAATCCACACGTGATATTTAGCAATTCCATAAGATAGGAGCGACTAGAGGCGAATATTATTATTATTGAGGTATCTATATAATTTTCTCATCTGGTTGGGTTCTATAAATATATAATTTTAAGTTAAAATGAAAAGATAAATATACATAAATATCAATAAAATAAAATAAATACAAAAATACATAAATAAATAAGATCAGTCAGAATAAGAATAGTCCTGTCTGTGATGATGGCCCGGTCCCAATAGAGCCTGGCGCAATCATTTTCGAGCACGGCTTCCCGCAAGTACTTGTAATATGGCAATTTCCGATCCACAAGACCGTATTTAAGAGCGAGCTCCTGGTGAAGAATTCTGGCTACTAGGTTGTGCCTGTGCCAGTACTCAGAGTTAGAAAGCGCCGAACAACCGGAGATTACATGCCTAAGTGACTCACCGGGATGGCGACAAGCTCGACAAATATCAATGGTGCCATCCTTTAGGATGTATCTCCGATAGTTATTGGTCAGGTCCATTGCACAGACAAAACCCTCGGTTTCCCCGAAGAGGTCACCGAAACGTAGCCAGTTGAGGGAGGCGACTGTATCTACTAAGGGCTCATGTAGAGCCCTGTAGTACCTCCCGTGGAGCTCCTTCTCCTTCCATACGGTCTCCCGGTCGGAAATGCTAAGCACTGCTGGGTCCTACCATTGCTCGTTGGCTAAGGATAGAGGGGTAAGCCCTTTATCACTAGAAATGACGTCATTACAAAATGGATCATCCGATCTCGCGAGGAAGTAATCACGGAGGCTGCACACTTCGCGATTATGCATGGTAAGCGCGCTCAGAAAGCCACGCCCACCATACTTTGGCGGCAAGTTCAGCCTCATTACCGACGATCTCGGATGATGCATCCTATGGGACGTCATTGTAGTGCGGACTTTTCTATCCAGGGCGTTAAGTTCAGTCTGAGTCCGCCTGAGTATGCCAAAGGTATACATGAGAACAGGCATGACCCAACCGTTATATGCGTGTGTCTTATTCACACCGGACAAAAGGCTGTTAAGCACTTTGGTCAAGCGTGCATAAAACACGTCGCAAACTAACTGTTTCATACCAGCCTCATCGATACCGATGTTCTATGACATACCCAGGTATCGGTATGTTACAGCCTCGGAAAGGGTCCTTAAGTTGACGGGCATATATAAGTCTATGCCCTCCGAGTTAGCAACCCTTCCCCTTTCAACATGGAGGACCGCACGCTTATCCGTCCTCAGCTCCATTCCAATAGAATTGCTAAATTCACAAGTGATGTTGCATTCCATAACTCCGCGAATAACTTGAGGTCATCCATATAGAAAAGGTGGGTCACTTTTGTACCTCCTTTCCGAAGCTGAAATCCCCTCCCGGAGCCCTCTAGTAAAGTACTGAGAGGGTTCAGAGAGAAGCAAAACCAGATTGGACTCAGACAATCGCCCTGGAAGATACCCCTTCTTATCCTTATGTGGTTCTCCGCAGCCATCATCCGCTCGCCCAGATAGCAAAGGATCGTACTCCACTGCCCCATACACTGCTCGAACTGTACAGTCAATCTTGTACAGCTGGAGGACTCTCTTTAGCCATGTATGGGGCACCGAGTCGAATACCTTTCTGTAGTCTATCCAGGGGGCGGAGAAGTTCCGACGGTTGCGTTTCACCACTTTGCCAATGACCGCGTCAATGAGGAGTGGTTCCTTGGTTCCACGACCACCGTCCCTACATCCATTTTGAGCGCGTGCCATCACCTGATTTAGCTCCAGGTGACGAGTGATTCTCGCGCTCAAAATGGATGTCAGTGTCTTATATATATGGTGGGTAGACACGTGATGGGGCGGTATTTGCTCGGGTCTGTGGTATCCTGATCTTTAGGAACCAAGTGAGTGATCCCAGTAGTGAAGAGGCTCGGGAGCGACTTCTAATCGAGAGCCTCTTGAAACTGTCGGGCGAGCACAGCGTGACATACTACGAACCCCTTCAGCCAGTAGTGATGGAGCCCGTCGAGCCCCGGACTTTTCCAGTTCGGGGCCCTACGGACCGCCTCAGCCACGTCTTCAGGCGTTATGGTGACGGGGTCCATAGGCGTAACACTTGCACTCTGGCTCGCCACAACTTCCATCCAAGGGCCCTCGCTGTGGTTTACGGGCTCTGATAACAGGCCACGCCAAAATACGACAGTGTCAGCCTGATCCGGTCCTGGGCCCGCTCCACATACCTCTGGTCGCTCCAATGATTTATAGAGCCCTCTGGAATCACTCTGGAAGAGACGATTCTGGTTGAACCGCCTTGACCTCTCGCTAAGTCATCGAATCCGCTTCCCCCAAACAGCGATTTTTTGCTTCAGGTCATCTATGCGCTCCGTTAGTTTTTGCGTGATATCCGGCTGGGACAAACTAATATTTGTCCCAGCAAACGCCATTCTAACGGTGCGCACAACTCTCGGTCTGTTATTACCCGACCTGAAGCTTGTCAGTCTGCCGATAAGGGCCCTTGCGTTTGCGATACGGTCCTCGATTCTTTTTCTCCAGGCTGGGATAGCACTACTTTGTTGAGTAGCACGTCCAGCCATGGGAAGTTTGGCACCAATAATACGGCATACTGCCAGTGCGGCGCCAAAAAGAATTGAGTCCGTCTCGCAAAGGTCCCGGCTGGCTTCCAGATAAGTCACCAGCATTGGGTTAAGAGCCCGCACGACAGCCCGATTTCGCCAGCTAAGCGGTATGCGAGGAAGTCGCGGTCGATTTTCGAGAGGCATGCTGCGCGTTTACAGTATTGACTCTTCCAAAATGCTCCTCATTTTCTCTAGTTCGTGGGAGATTATTCCATCATCGTCTGAATTAACCACAAATGGAATATTGACGGCAGCACCCACGTATGCGGTTTGCTGCGCATCCAGTGGCGCTGCATTCCCAGTCGTAGCATTTCCATTCGATGAGGGAACGGTCTCACGTCGTAGTCGTTCGAGTTCGGCGTCACCAAATATGTTGGAGCGCAGGATATACCGAACTTGGTCTGCCAGGTTTTGCTCAGTGTCGGATAGAGATGGCTCCAGCTCTGCAAAAAAGCGATGCATCCGAGCTCGATACGCCAACATCCAGTTTCTTCCCCTTTTACCCTAAAGTACGTCCGCAGTGCGTTTGCGTTCATTAATTGTGACCAACGCATGCGACGTGCTCCACCAGCGGCGGGTGCCGCTTGCTGAGTCCGAGAAGACCCAGCCGACGCCAAGCCTTCTGGTGGGGATGATGGATGCGGGGGGCTGCTAGGTGGTCTTGCAGCACCCCGCGCTCGGCTGGCGGCCCGCATGCTGTCGCGTCCAGCGCCAGCTCCAGACGCGTCTTGGCGACCTCCAGGCAGCGGCCCTTTGCGCACATCTTTTTTCCATCATCCATGAATTGGGCGTCCATTAACGGGGGACGCCCAGGCCCGGCACCGTATCCTGTACGGCCATAAGCACAAACGGGCCTTTGCATCCTAAATTCTGCCGAGGCACGACGCTCACACCTCTCGCAAGGCGCTGACTGATTGCGTTGACGTAGCAGTTTTGTCACTTAACTGTTACGTCAGCGGGCGATGGGGTCGTCAATTCCCTACGCCAAATTTATTATTATTGTTATTATTGTTTTTTTTATTGATATTATTATATTTATTAATTATTATTAATTTTAAAATTATTATTAAAGATTAGCCTTAAAAATGTTTAACAAAGGTGAATTAGAAACATTTGTTTGTTCATTCAGCAGTGCATTGTTAATATTATTATTTTTTTTCCAACTGTTCCAGCCCCACACAGTCGCAGCTCCTTTTTACAAGTATGTAAGACTTCAAAGGAATGGTCGCTGGCTAGGTTGTGTCCAACGTCCAAGAGATGTTTAGCAAAATGGGATTTATCAGGATTGCAATTTCTGTACGGGGCCAAATGCTCTTTATAGGGCGTCCCGAAATTGCGACCAGTCTGACCCACGTAAACGGCGTGGCATTCGTCACAAACAAGTTTATAAACACTCGATTTTTGACTAATATTTAACTTATCTTTATTATTACAAATATTCCGAAGCAAATTGTTTGTTTTGAATGCCATAACGTGGCATTACGCCAACGCCGTTTTAGAGTATTAGCTATTGTTTCCGATATGGAGCCTAAATAGGTCAAACTGCTCACATATCGCCGGACATTTTGAGATCGAACCGCGTACAAAGAATTGCGAACAACATGCTTTTGTTTTTTTTGTTTTTAATAAGATTATTAATGAGATTTTTTGAAAAACCGTTAGAGACTGGAATTTGATAAATTAATTTAAGTTCTTTTAAATAATTTTCTTTACTTAATGGAACAGTGAACAGACGGTTAATGTAACAATAAAAAGCGGCTAATTTATGTTGCCATGGATGACACGATGACGCGGGGATGACCGTGTTGGTATGAGTTGGCTTTCGATAAATTTGAAAAACATGCAACGACTCTTTTCTTGTTTTGTTAAGTCAAGGAAATTAAGAAAGCAATCTTGTTCTAATTCATGTCTGAATTTGATATTTCTCGTAAACAGCCATGAAGCAAGTTTTTTGGATGGGAAAGCCAGAGAACTTGCTTCAAAGGCTGTTTACGAGAAATATCAAATTCAGTCCCATAAGTTAAAACGAGTTCTATCTTCTTCATCCCGTAAACGTAATACCATTAAAAACATAACTTGTAAAAAAAACCAAGTCTCGCATCGCAGTTCTTCCACCGTAAAAAGTTGTGAGATCCATGTATGTAATACCAAGTCGGTTAATTTATTCAGTTCCTACTTAAGGGTTCTTCTGTTTTAAGTTATTACGTAATTAGCTAACGTAACAACATTTTATGGGACCATATCAATATTAAAAGTCTTTTATGTTTTAAAATATATTATAGTTGATCCCTTTCTCCGTACCGGTTTTTTTGTTTAGCAAAGTACACTTTGCATAACAACTTTGACCGTTCGTAGTGATCTAAGGAGATTACAAGTTGGTTTAAGTGAGAAAAAAAGTGTTTTGTGAGCTTAAGATTGGTGAATTTTGTTCATTGAATAAAACTATTATTTACGGATTTTATCGCGTTTATTTCACTACTTTTACTTATTTTTAATTCCCGACGTTTCGGGTGCTTTACAGCAACCATGGTCACGGGGGGGGACTGAGATGTTTGACGTCCCAATGTCATAGTTAGTCCGGTTACCTTCAGTTTTTGAATATTAATTTTTGGTCCGATTTACGCAAAACGAGCTTATAGTATCATGAAGTCTTGCAGTGGTATGCTTAGGTTTGGGTTTAATGTTGTTAATTATAGGATCCCAAGCAGGTGGCAGCACCCATCCATCTTCTCTATTGAAATTTGTATGTTTTTTAATTTCAATAGCCTCGCGTATCATCCTTGGTAGGAATCGGTGTTCTTTTGCGAGAATTTGTGGTTTATCAAAACGAATGTAATGGTGGGGACGATCTTGAACATGTTCGCAGACTGCAGACTTCCCGGAGCGTCGGTGCTTCACGTCAGCTATATGTTCTTTCACGCGGGTTTTTATGGATCTTTTTGTTTGACCTATGTAAGAGAGACCACATTCACAATCTAACTTGTACACTCCTGCATCTTGTAGAGGGATATTACACTTGACGGATGGTAAAAATTGACTAATCTTCTTCGGCGGCTTGTAGTATGTTTTAATAGAAGCTCGCTTCAAGATGTAGCCAACAATGTCTGTGACTCCTCTGACATATGGTAGTACAGCAGGTACACGCTCGACTGTGGCCGGCTTCACTCGGTCACTGTGACGTAGGCGCGGGACCCGAAGCTTGCTGTCTTGCAATACTTGCTTGACGTGCTGAAGTTCGGCGGCCAGATGTTTTCTGTCACAGATCCCTCGTGCTCTCTGAAACAAAGATTTACCCACGGTAGCTAACTGTGAAGGATGATGGTGAGATTCACCATTTAAATATCGGTTGGTATGGGTCTTTTTTCTATACACAGTGTGACTAATTGTGTTATTAGGATTTCGAATGACTAAAACATCTAAGAAAGCTAAAGAATTATTTGCCTCTAACTCTATTGTGAATTGTATTTTAGAGTTTATAGAGTTAAGGTGGTTTAAAAATGCAGTTACTTTGTCAGATGGTAAAATTGTGAAAGTGTCGTCTACGTACCGCTTGTAGAATCTTGGATTTACAGGAGCAGTAAGAAGGGCTTTCTCCTCGAAGTCCTCCATGAATATGTCGGCGACTATGGGAGACACAGGTGAGCCCATCGCCACACCATCTACTTGCTTGTAGAACTCCTCCTTCCACAATAGATAGCCAGATGTGAGGCAATGTTCAAGTAGTATTGCATATTCTTGAGGCATGTTATTTTTTTCTAGCTTCCTAGTTACAATTGAGATGCAGTCCACAATAGGTAGGCATGTAAATAGTGACTGAACATCAAAACTGACCATAGTTTCATTGTTAGCGAGATGTAGGTCTTTTATCTCACTCACAAAATGGTACGAATCCTTTGTGTGTGCTCTGGTATGTCCTCTCAGTGGTGATAGTATTTTTGCTAAGTATTGTGCCAGCTTATAAGTTGGTGAATCGATCTGGCTCACTATGGGACGTAGTGGAGCGTTTGGTTTGTGTATCTTCGGTAACCCATACAACCTCGGTGGTTTGGCACATTGATGGTATTAGCGAATTCACGTCGAGATTTAATTTTTCGGAGTATTTCTTTATTAAATCGCTAGTTGTTTTAAGCGTGTTAGTTGTAGGGTCTGTTTTGACCTTTTTATATGTACTTTCGTCCGATAAAAGTTGTTGTATTTTAAAATTATATTCCGACGCGTCCATTACTACCGTAACATTTCCTTTATCCGCGCGGAGAATCGTGAGTTCTGGTCTGTTCCGTAAGTTATTTAGCGCTGTAAATTCGTCTTTGGGAAGGTTTGGTTTCGGCACTGAACTACGACGTAACAAGGACGAAATATCTTGACGTATGGCCTCCAAATCTTCCTTACCGATATTATTCTTAAACAGACAATCCTCAACACTGCAGATAATTTCTTCGTACGGGATTTTTTTTCGCGGAGTTAAAGTGAAATTCATTCCCTTCGCTAATGGGTGCTGTAAAGCACCCGAAACGTCGGGATAATAATAAAAATAAATTAAAGTAATTAAACGCGATAAAATCCGTAAATAATAGTTTTATTCAATGTGTAGTGTTCGCGTAAATTTAAGAAATCATTATGTGAATCTTGTTCAGTTCAGTTCTTAGAACAATTAAAAATTTTATCTAAATATGTTTAAAAGTCATAAAGATTATTGTATAACCTAAAACTACGTTATCGTCCTTTCTCACTCGAGGCCACGCTAATCATTAGTCTATAGGTTTCTCTGTCTATTTTTTTTTTGCGCCCGATGCAATTAAAGGGCTACCCTATACGTAGGGAGGCGGAAAATGCATTACGCATACCACGATAGCCGGTCTATCGTGGTTATGAGGGACTCACTGTCCTACCGGGGACCCTAAGTGATACCCTCTAAAAACCGCCTTTGGGGACAGGCAGCCGGCTGATTAAGCTGTATTGTGCCTTATCGTGAGCGACCCTCTTTTGGGATAAGAGGGCGCAGGCGGCTACGAGCCGCTGAGGGAGTGCCTACGAAGGCAAATTAATATTAGTTAATACAATAATTTAATTTAATTAGAGTTGGCCTGAGCCGCCAGGAGGCAGTTCAGGTCGTTTGTCAGTTTATTAGGCGGGTCCGAGAGAGAGTTTCTCGGCCTGCGGACTCGATAGCGAGAGGGGGGGTGGGGCTGCATAAGTAGCTGCCTCACGAATTAATTGGTTTGGGTGCGACTCTGATGCTTTGAAGAAGTTCTCAGAGAGTTTTTTAAGAAATTGTTGAATTGTTGGGAGCTCTAGGTCCCGATGAAGGTCGGCATTACGGACGTACCAAGGTGCGTTCGCAGCTCCACGACAGAAAAGGTTTTGAACTATTTGGAGTTCATTAATAATATTAGGGTTTGCGTGGCAAAGACGGGGCCCGCGTAGGACATGACTGGTCGTATATAGACCTTATAGAGGGTACGCTTGTTTCGAAGGGACATTTTACTGTGTCGGCCCAACATACTGTTGAGCCTACTCAGATAAAACCGTGCGTGACGGGTTACTCTTTTGACGTCGGGCCTGAAAGTGAGCCCTGTGTCCAGAGTGACACCTAAATATTTGGCGGTCGTATGCCAGGGGACAGGGGTCCCTAGCATACGTATTGGTGGAGTGTTTTTGAGACGGCGTCGTTTATAGTCGAAGTGAACGGCGGAGCTTTTCTCCGGGTTCACATCGATGCGCCATTTTTTGAACCAAGCTCCTAGGTCATCAACTGACTTTTGGATCTTGTTCCGTATGAAGGGCAGTGAGACACCTTTGCAGTAGATGGCAGTGTCGTCTGCGAAGAGGGAGAGCTGAACACCTTTCGACGGGATGGGAATG